ATTCGACCCTGTTCAAATTCATCTTGTTGTTAACTATAGCAAAATAACTGCGTTCATTAAAGAAAGATTGAGTGTACTAAGTGATTGTAAAAAATGATTTCTTCTTAATTGACCTTTTTAAGGAATCGTTTAAATTCACCTGTAATTAACCCTTGTCGATTGATCACATTTATTGAAGTACTACTGATTATATCTTGTTATTGCAATAGATCATACATCTTATATTTGAGTTAACAAATAATTTATTTCTTAATTAACCCTTATTAAATGATATCTCAATCAAATCCATATCAAATAATTAGCTCTTGACAAATGATTTCGTTTATATCTAGTAACTAAAGCAAATCATGTATCTAATACTTATGGTTAGATTCATTTATTCTTAATTCATCATTTTCAAATGCTCCCACTTAAATTCATTTTGTAATTAGGTCTAACTATGCTCCTTGAAGTGATATCATACCCATTTAAATGGAACAAATGATATACATTTTGCTTGAATTAAGAAATGATTTGTTTATTTATATTCTTGCCAAATGATAGCGTTCAAATTCATCTTGCAATTAACCCCAATGAAATGACCTCATTCATTGAATTAATGTTGAGTGTATCTAACAGTTTCAACAAATCATACATTTTAATACTTGTGTGAAAAATGATTTTTTTCTCTCTGTACTGTGCCCTTCTCAAGTGACCTCATTCAAATTCATAATTAACCAATACTGAATGGCACCGTCCATTGAAGTAATACTGAATCCAATACCAATACAAATAACAGATTTTATAATTACGTTGAAAAATGATTTTATTGTAATTAACCTATACCGAATAATTCTGTTTATATTTATCTCGTAATTTTCCTTTGTCCTATGACATGTTGGCTATTTAAATATAAACTAAGCTAATCTTCGCCTCTCATCCGAATGACTGATTAAGTACAACAAACAAAGATACCCTCATCTCGATCGATTTCTTCTATATTTAATTATGAATTTTAAAAGTTCTTGTGCTTAATAGAACTTTAGTGAGATTCTTATCAAGACAACCTCCATAAATGTTTTCAACCCTCCACCTTTAATCACAAAGGCAAAATTATAAGAGAAAAATCTTGATTAATTAGAACCAGTAAATTATAAACCATGCACAAAATAATTATTAATCATGTTTGCACATGGCTTTTTTCCTTTTACATTTTCTCTTCATCATCTAAGACTATCATAAAACTTGCACCATCCAAAACCAAAATAAAAAATAAATATTTTATTTTAAGTTCTAGCCAAAATCCTAAACGAAAACCAACCTTTTGAGGATTATTTCATTTTTTTCTTTTTCTTTTCTTATACAGTTTTATTACTTTATGCAACAGGTGTCCTCATTGTTTTGAGCTCTTTGTCACGAGAAGAATTTAGTTTTTTGACTTTGATCTCACAGTATAGTGTCTTCCTTTTCCTTGTATTCAGGTTCCAAAGAGCTGTATATTAAGAATGTTATAGAGTAGAAAAAAAGTCAAGATATGCCTCATAGGTTTGTAGGAGATGTGAAACTTCTGAAATCGAGAGGAAGTGTTGTGTTTGTCTCGTCGAAAGGTTAGCTATCTAATAGCCAGCTTAATGCAGTTTTCTAGTGTTTTAAGTTGAAGTTTTGATGGTCTTGTTTTAAAAATTAGTTCACTGCAGGATGTCCACTGATTAAAACCAACTGAAATTAAAAGTTTATGGCTACATTTGTTAAGTGTCTGTCCAGAAGTTGCTTTCGTAAACGATGAGTCAATGGAACTATAAAAGTAAAAGCTAAAAGTTTGTAAAGGCAAGGATTTAAAATTTCACATTAAAAAATTACCATTAAATAATGTAGTGATGTTCTTGCGACATATGGACTTAGGCATCTAATTTTACGCTATGTGGATTAGTCTATCTAAATTCGCGCTATGTGTCTGATTGAAAACTCTCTTTTAATATATATAATAGTGTTTACCCCGCACATTGTGCGGGTTGTTCAAAAATAATGTTAATGATATAAATTATAATTGTGTAATTTTGAATATCAATATATTTTGTTATTTTAAATATATTTGGAATAATTGTCAATACTTGAAATCGTCCAATATAACTTATTGTCCATCTTTTTCTTTTTGTTGATTTACGGTTTCATATCTTTTAAAAATATTCTCTTAATTTTTTATGATCTCTTTAAATATTTTCACCTATGTCATATCTTTTAAACCCTTCCTATAACTGAAATTTTTGTCATTATTTATTTACATAAACTTATTGTTATTTTTCATCTTCCTATATACCTTTTGCAACATTTTTTTAGAAGTTTGTTTGTACATTTTTTCCTATAATATAGTGTTCATTTTTTTTCTTGGTTGCATAATATTCGACTTTTTTTTTGATAACTTCTCTTGAACGTTTCATTTCTTGAAAAATTTGTTATGATTATTTTATTTTTCACTATTACCTTGGTTCCTATTTTCATATTTTTTAAATTCTCTACATAATTTTTTATAGCATTATTTTTAATATCTTAATATACTTTTCTTCTACTATTTGTCTCTCACAAAGATTTTTATTCTTTTTCATTATCTCAATATGCTTTTCTTTCCCTATTTATCTCTATGTTTTGCTTTATCGCCACAACTTTAACTTTTTCTACCATTATATCATATAGAAAAAATAATTATGAATATATTCTATTATTATATTAATTTATCAGTAATTATACTATATTATATTATATATAATATAATACATATTAAAATATTGAAAGTTTGTTGATTATTATATAATTTATTAATAGTATTAATATTAAACAACAATAATTGGTTATTAGTATTGCCCGTTAAGGGACAAAAAATACATTGCCATTAAAACATTATTTACAATCAAAGCACCACCAGCTAAAATAAAAACTTATACACTAAACAGTAAAAATAAAAATATCCGATTGATGGTTATACATCGGATTTTTCTTTTTTTTTTGGTTTTTTATTTCAGATGGTTATCTTTGGATTTATTAGTATTATTATTATTTTACTTTTCTTTTATTTTCTAATCTTTACACAATATAATCATTAGTAATCATTTATTAGCATTGCCCGTTAAGGGGTAAAAAATATATTTCCTTTTAAAAAAATAAAAATCAAAACACCACCGACTGAAATAAAAACTAATACACTAACAAATTAGAATTTTAAACAATTCAATTAATGGTTACACTTTTGCACATAACTATAAAAATCAGTTTTGATATGTGAATTGGTTTTTCTCATAATGGAAGTCGGAATTTTTTTTTTTTTAACCGTGAAATTGGTTTCCTTTTGGCTTTTAATTATAGTCGGTTATCTTTGGATTTATTAGTTAGGAGTTTCATTTTGATCATTATATTTTAGCATATACAATTTCATATAGTTTCTTTGTTTTATTATTCTATCTTTGGATTTATTAGATTGAATTGGTAATTGATTAATTACATAAGACCACTTTATTTTGAACTTTAATTTGGGCTGAGGTGAGCATGTTGGAGAGAAATCAAAATTTGACTTGTAGTTAATTAATTAAATTGAGGCCAAGAAATTAAAGAAGTGTTGCCCTATCATTAAAATTTATCCTTAAGAGGTAATTTATAATTTTAACATTAAAAATTTACCATTATATGATAGAGTGATGTGGTTGCGACATGTGGACTTGGGTATCTAATAAGTCTAAATGTAGGGCCTAAAGTTTGAAAATACAAATGAAAAGAAACCATGGTTAATTGTTCAACAATTAAATTGAAATTATTGATGATACATACAATTAGACCTTTCAAATCTTCATATTCGATATAGAATGGAAAACATTATTCTTTTGTGAATGGGTTTACAGAATCATTAGACCATTATTATGAAGTGTTTAATCAATCTTGAAGTCATTTTACAGAAAAAAAACTGTAATAAAGTATGTGTCTATAAATTAATTATAACCTCGTTTTTATTGTGTTGTAGAGAATCCTGTTTTCTGAATTTGCTAGTTATTTTTTTTTCAATATTTTCCCAATATTTCATCCGACCTACTAAATTCATTTTCTTCTTATAACATTTGATTCCGTTTAGCAGAAATAATCATATCTTATTATTTCAAACCATATTAGTACTATTATTATCCAATAATCGCAATTTTGTACAGGTTACTTTTCGTTTTTTCTTTTCTCTCCTTCACCGAAAAAAAAGAAAACAAGGTACAGTAAAACCTCCACAAATTAATTCTCTATTAATAATAACCTCTATTAAATAATATTTTTCTTAGGTCCCAACTCGGGACCAGTACAAAATATTAAAAAACTCGATTAATTTATAAGATAATAATTTTTCAAGAATCTCCTATGTAAATATAGGTCCTCACAATTTCATACATTAAATACTAAAAATAAAAACCAGATTTGAAAATTAAATTAGATTTTACTTAAGTATTTTTTATGTTTGCAATTATCATCTTGTTGTTCCATTAAAAAAATTATAATAATGTGAATTGAGTTGCAACTAACTTGTTTTTAGGTAAAAATAATAAATATTTTTATAAATAATATTTAAAAAACTATTTAATTAATAAATTATTAATTTATCGATAAATTAATAATTATTAATTTATCGATAAATTAATAAATTTTTGAGGCCCAAGTTTATTAATTTATAGATGTTTTACTGTACTAGTAGGAAAAGAGTTTTAAAAATTACAACAAAATAGAAAATAAAAAGGAAAAGGGAAAAAAACAACGGTGCTGTTCAGCATCTAAACCTAAGCAGCTGATTTCTCTCGTTTTTTCTACTCTGCCCCAAGTCCAAGACTGAAAAAGCTCTCTGCTGCAATAGACTGAAGATTTATGGGCTCCTCCATTTTGAACTCTTCTCACTGAAACCCTATTAGATTCGGACGATGGATTGAATTTTGGCTCAACCTTTTGCTGAAAAGGGTACTCATTTTTTAGCTTTTCGGTTCCAATTGTTTCTGGGTTTTCTTGATATGGATCGATCAAGATCTTCCAAAAGGTACTACCATGACCATCAAGACTATGACTTTGAAATGAACAGTAGTCGGAGTAGGCCTCGGTATAACAACAATTCCAATTTCGGTTCGTACCATTCTTCTTCCCACTACCGCCGTGGGCCTGTGGGTGGCGGTGGCGGTGGCGGTGGAGGCGGAGGAGGAGGAGGCGGAGGTGGTGGTGGAGGGGGGAGGAAAATGTTGGACCCGTCACTGACTGTGACGACTAGTTACAAGATTCTGTGCCATGATATTAAGGCTGGAGGGGTGATTGGGAAATCCGGGAGCATTATTAAGTCCATCCGAGCCCATACCGGAGCTTGGATAAATGTGCATGAATTGGTTCCCGGGGATGACGAGAGGATTATTGAGATTTCTGACTCTAGGAGAAGGGACCCGGAAGGGCGAATGCCTGCATTTTCACCTGCTCAAGAAGCCTTGTTTTTAATACATGAGAGGATTTTGGACAGTGATATTGCTGCTGCTGGCGGCGGCGGCGGCGGCGGGGATGATGGTTATGGCTATGGAAGTAGGGATAAGTTGCCTGTTGTGACTAGATTGGTGGTGTCACGAATGCATGTGGGGTCCTTGCTGGGAAAAGGAGGAAAGATTATTGAGCAGATGAGAATGGAGACCAAAACCCATATAAGAGTATTGCCAAGAGACCATACCCTGCCTCGCTGTGTTGCAATGTCTGAGGAGATTGTGCAGGTTTTTAATTTTCTTTTGGCTTGAAATGACTGAATTTGTGTTGAACGTTTTAGTGTTTGTAAGATGCATTGCTGTCTATTGAACCTTTCTTATGGACCCCTATTGAACTTCTGAACTAAACCAAATTTGATTGAGGAAATGCCTATTTGGGTTGAACTTTTACTTCCTGAATTGCTTTATTTCTAGATTCCCATGAATTTCATCCCAATTCTATGCTTGCAGACTATGTTTGGTTTGTTTGAGTTTGTCATTTCAAAGCAAATGTGGCGAGCCAAAAGGTTTAGTAAAGTCAGGGAAAGAGGGGCTTGGAAGGTGGTCTTTGCATTTCAAATCTCTATTAGGAGTGTTATCCTCTGTTTTGTAGGGGTTCATAGTTAATTGTCCTCCCATTAGTGTTTCCCTACAGTTGTTTCATTGATTTCCATAAGTGATTGGTGATAGAGTGGTATGTAGTTTTCTGAGATGGTTTTTGATTTTGAATATCTGGCATTCGAGTGGAAAGAGGTAGGCCCGAGTTAAAGATATAGAGGAGGTGCAGGAAAATCAATCAAGAATGACTCCAAGTGTAAGAGTAAAAACCTATATTAGGCAAGAGATGATATTTCCATGCCATTTTATTTGTTTGAAGTGGTTAAGGAGCACAAGTCTGTCATCTTGCTTGTGAATTAAGCCTCTGCCTTCTGCACGAGGAACGTGAAACACGTTTCGCATACAGAGGGTATTTGAGCCATTTCCCTCAAAAATCAGTTATCAACGGTCATAATTTGATTGCTTTATTTGGAGGCAGATAATCACATTGATTGTAATTAGGAAAAATTAATCACATTCATACTTTTTCCTTTTAATTGTTTGCCTGGATTAGACTACCATTCTGCATAATTGGACTTCTATTTTCATGTTCCCTTTGGGTGTGGTGGAATTCAACATTGTTGGACTTCTTTTGTCCTCAAATTTTGTCAGGCTTATTGTAGCTTGTGGTAAAATTATATCTCGGAGCAAATGGTTATTGTTGTTAGATGAGACAGATCAAATTAGTGGCCAAATGCTTTAGTTATTTGCTGTTAAATGCTATACTCTTTATTGTTTTAGTGGTATGTCTCTTTCCTTTTTTCTTATTCATCTGTATTAATTCTATTTGAGGAAGACTTTGGTTGTTAATAATTGAAGTTTTCTTGTTACAATTCTATGGTTTGTGAGACAAGAATCTTCATTCCTAGATAGTGTTTGAGGTTTGAACCTCGATAAAAAGGCTGAACCTTTTGTCATTTGGAACTGAGCGTGTCATATTTCTTTAGAGGTGAAGGTTTGGTTAGTTTGTGTAATTACTTAATAATTCATGCCAATCAGTCATAGGGAAGCTTGGGTGTGAAACAGTCAGAGAATCTGGACAATGGCTTAGTCTAGTTCATTTTTGTGAAAGACATCTCTTCGTAGGTGTCCTCTCATTTTCACTTCAGCTCCATGAGATTACCATTTTTGAATCTATTTAGTCTGAATTATGTGAAAGTTGTGTGAGTATGCTTTGGCATTGGCCGAGGTGCATCTTGCTTTTGATTGTCCTTTATTTGATTAGTTTGTATTTTCTTTTCTTGTTGTTAGCAAGTCACAGTCTCCGTTTAGCAAAAAATGTAAGGATTTTTGATTAAAACTTTTCTGCTCACTTACTTAGATTAAAAACTGAGAGGTGATAATTGTGGACAATGCTGGATATCTCGTGGTCATCTTAGGAATGAAATTTTGTCACGGTCACCTAGACATTTCTTGGGTCTGCAGGCTGAAAGGGAAGTTCTTGATATAATAAGGTAAACAGGAAAAGGGAGCTAGGAAAGAAAAATCTCTGAATCGTATGCTGAAAATTATAAAGGTGTAACGTTTTAAATCCAGTTGCTGCAATGCAGAGACATCTGTCAATCTTTTTTTTTTTATTTTTTTTATTTTTAGTTTATAGCAAATGGATGAAAGTTAAATTGTATTAATAAATTGCTGGAGGTCTTATTGTATTGTGATGTCAGTAAAGAATTGGAGGAGAGGGATTCTAGATACTGACTTGCAGACAATCTGTTCTATCCTTTCAGAGCGTTATTAGAACATAATATACATTTAAGGTTTAGTTGCAGGATATCTGCTTCATGGTTGACTGCTTACTAAGGTTTTTCTGAAAACCCACACTGAAAAGGCAAAGTTTTCCTGGTGATATCAGGTTAATGGTTGGAATTTGTGAATCGTTATTGATTCTTTTCCCATTCTGATTTTCGTGTGCTCTTTCTGATTGGAAAATAGTATGCAACGTTAGTAGCAAGTTGCTGGAATGTACTTTTTCCCAAGCTTGGAAGATCTCAGTGCAGATTGTCAATGATGTGTATCCTAGTTTCTAATTACAATTCTGGTCAGGTGTGAAATAGATGGTTATCTAAACTTATGCTATTAGGCATGTAACTCGATAATTTTCTTTCAGGTTATGGGTGATGTTAATGCTGTGAAAAATGCTATATCAGTTATATCGTCACGTTTGCGTGAGAGTCAACATCGTGATCGCAGTCATTTTGGTGGTCGGTTACATTCACCTGACCGGTTCTTCCCCGACGAAGAATTTAACCATTCAGCACGTCGAACATCTGCTGATGGGGGTAACTATGGATCTCGGTTTTCAGGTGGACGGGCATATAACTATTCCTCACGTCAATCTGGGAATGCCCTTGAATCTGAAATTTCTGCTATGAATGATAATGCATTCTATGCTGGTGAAGAACTTGTGTTCCGAATTCTATGCCCTGTTGAAAAGGTTAATTGCATCATTGGGGAGTCGGATGGGATAATGGATTTGCTTCAGAATGAAGTCGGTGTTGATGTGAAGGTTACTGATCCAGTTGCAGGTTCAGATGAGCAAATTATTATTGTGACATCAGATGAGGTACTGCATAGACTAAGTTTTAAAGTAAACTACAGCCATAAAATGTTGACCAACAATTTTGCATTGCCGTTTTGCAAATAGAAAGTTTCTGACGTAGGTGTTCCACTGTTTGCACCGCTTCTGCAAGTGCAATCTAAGCCTCAAAACTTGCTGATTGTGATGCATGTACAATATGTGCTTATGGGTGTATTTGGGATTTTGGGCGTAATGAGAAATGGGTATATATCAGTTAGGGGTTGGTTTTTTATGAACTCAAAATATGAGATGTGATGAATTGCACATTAGATACGACCCTATATATGGAAGAGAATTAATTGGCTTGCCCTGTTACTGCAAACAGAGATTTTTTTTTTTTGAGGAAACAGAGATTTGAGTATTATATAAATAAGAATAAGTAACATGTAATTTATGCTTAAAAAATATGATTATCTTAGGCTGTAATTTATCTCTGTGAGAGCAACAGGCATGGGAGAGGGAGACTTGAATCTTAACCTGCATGGTTCTCCAATTAATATATCTCTATTAGGTTGACCCAATCCCGAACTGCAGAAAATACCTTTATTTTGGGTGTGGGTTTCAGAATAATGTTATTTTTGGGTCATGTTGTATTACTGATTTAAAACTCCTATTTGTCTTTTGTCAGAGATATCCTCTTTGTTAGAACATTTTGTGCTGAGCAGATGCACTTAATTTGGAGCTTTATAGAGCAGCATTTCAATTAGTGGTTACGAGTTGTATTAGCTGTTATTTCATCAAATCTTAAAAGTGTTCGCTTGGATATTTTTGTTTTAGGGTCCTGATGACGAGCTGTTTCCTGCTCAAGAAGCATTGTTGCATATTCAGACCCAAATTGTTGATCTTGTTCCTGACAAAGAAAATGTTATCACTACTCGATTACTGCTGCAATCAGAAGAAATTGGGTGCTTCACTGGTAGAGATGGATCACTGTCTGATGTGAGAAAGATAGCTGGGGCGGATGTACAAATCTTGCCTCGGGAAGAACTCCCTGCATGTGTATCAGACAATGATGAGATTATTCAGGTTTGTTTTTATGCAGATGTTAAAAGTCTGAAGTCCATTTTTGTTTTGTTTTATCTTGCTTTTACATTCTTTTGTGTGTATTCAGATACTGAATGGACCAAATGACACAGAGTTGGACCTCTGTAATAGTTTTTGAGGCTGTTTTCATAGAAAGCTTGTTGAGTTTTACTTGTAAAAAAAGTGTATGAGTAATCTCTGTGGTTTTAATCATGTTGTCTGGCACAAACTTGATGAATAAATAATTAACCCTGGATTAAATCAGTTAAAATGTGTAGAAAAATACGAATGTAACATGATAGCCTTGTAGACGAAAAGCAGTCTGATGCTCATGCCTTTGACATAATCTGTTGTGTTAAATGATAACGTCTTCTGTTGAATGATATATTCGTGATGGATAAGATTCTTGAAAAAATTATCACCTGGCTAGGACCATGATCTGCTTTCGAGGATCTTGTTATTTGGTTCAAGGGGTTACTAAACACTATTCTAACAGATTGTAGGGGAGATTAAAGCAGCTAGAGATGCTCTTGTTGAGGTCACATCAAAACTTCGGAGTTACTTTTACAGGGAGTCCTTTCAGTCGTCTGCCAGCCAGATGGATGATGCTGTTGGACATGAGGGAGCTTCTGGAAATCGCATGGTTCAACCTCAAGAGAATCATCATGTGAAAGATCCTCCAACTTCAACACAGCTAGATGCATCAAAAACTACAGCTGCACAATCAACAAACACTGCGAGTGTAAAGGTTCAATAACTTCTTTGTCTCCGAAACCTATTTAGTCTCATTCCTGAATGCTACCGACGCTTTTATGAAGTGTTACTGTAATTTGTTTCGCTACAAAAAGTTCTCTTCACAAACGCTGTTTAATCCTCGATTGATATATTCTGTTTTCTCCTCCGCGTTTCTCATCTCCCCTTCTATGAAGCGGAGTGATATAAGCACTTGTTCTGTGGAGAATATGTCTAGGTTGTCATATTAGCTGCCTCAGTTTTTGCAGGTCTGGTGAATCTTCACATGAATGTCTTACTCTTATTCTGCAGGAATCTGAGACATCTAGCAGCGATTCCAGGAAACAGAATGAGATTGATCGTCAGGAAGAGGTTCCCAGTGGATTGAGCAGGTACTGAGTCCCTCCCAAGTCCCAACCTGAGTGCCAATTGTTTGTTCGTTTGTACTTATCATGCCTTGTTCATATATTGCTAGGAAACCTGTTCCATTAGTCACTAGGAGCATTCTGGAGGTCGTCATACCACCGTACGCTGCTTCAAAACTGATTACAAAATCAAGAAACAAACTTGCTCAGATCAGCGAGGTCCGTCTGGCTACAGTTTCCGTATCTTTTTGGGTGATGTAGATTTTGCATCCTTTTGACATTTATCCTATTGAGAACAGTTGTCAGGAGCAAATGTTAAACTTGTTGAAGACAATCCAGAGGCAAGTGAAAAGATCATACAAATATCGGGGTCCTCGGAACAAGCAGAAAGAGCCCAGAGCTTGCTTCAAGGATTTATATTAAGCAGTAAGTGCCTCTCTATATTTTTCCCAAAGAAGATTATCATCTTCACTCCTGTTTCAACCTCTCTCACTGGAAAAAACCTTTCCTTCTAATTAAGTTTGTTTAAAACTTAAGTATTCCAGCTTTCTAATAGATCGTCGCTCTAACTTAATTATTCAGTTGAGGAAGATGAACCGTGAGAGACTAAGTCGAATGTGCGTGGGCTGAAAGAGGCACCAAATAAGACGCTCACAGTAATAATAACTGCGTATGTAGTCCGAAGTCCCAGATATCCTCCCTCGAATCAGGGAAATTTTCCATCATCCTGGCACCAAGGATTACAGTTGCCTTTTCCAATTCATGCCTGGTATGTACACGCAAAATGTACAAAGAAATGAAACCCAACTGCAACGGATAGAGCCTGTAGGCAGGCCTCCAAGTCTCTGGGATTCATGCATTAGGTAGTATTTGTTTTTTTCTCCTTTTTCTGGGGTACTACTGAGGTGCCGTTTATATAATTCTCTGAACTCATGTTTTCTGTATGTATAAAAAGCTTTTTGAGGCTTGTCGATCATTAAGTTTTTGAAAGATTTGATGTTGGAATTTGCAGTGTTACTTGCGTTATATAGATTCTATTAGGCATCTGGGCCAAGTAACCGAGTTCCAAAGGGAAAGTATTGGGTCCAGCGCTTTGCAGTTCTTTTACTGGCATATGATGGAGATTTGCTAGTTCCTGCTTTTGAACCACCATGAAGGTACCCTAATAGAGCAAAACGGCACTGATGAAATACCATTTTTGGAGAAGAAGTTGGAATGGCGATTGATCCAAAGCGAGCATCCATCCAAAGTTTTGAGATTAATGAACGCTGTGGGAGCTATATATAATAAAATACCTAGTAAATGAAAACCCAAACTTTTGTATCCAGTGCACAAAGACAGTATTCAAATCAAATGAATCAATGGATCGAATACCTAAATATGATTTGAATGAATTAGTTAATCATCTAAAGATTTTGATAACATCTCAAAAATTATGGTGAACAATGGGAATAAACAAGGTAATTATTTTGGGACGATGGAAGTACAGGTATAGTCAATTTTTTAGTAGGTTGGGATCTTCTACGCTGCTGCCCGCTCGAACAAGGCCAAGTATACAAGACGCGATTTTCTATCTAAGAGAATGGACATTAGAATTATCTCTAACTTCCGGCAACATATTCTTCTTTCGTTTTGTTTCTTATGTCACATACAATTTAAGTACCAATGTTGCAACTTCCATCATAGATTGTGTCAGACATTAATTTTACAACGACAAATAACGTAAATTTTCAAATTTTAAGATGAGCATTAATTCCAACAAAGACCTCTCAATTTTGAGCAAAGATGAGCAAGAATTCTTGTGGTCATTGTATTTCGATTGCGGATACGTTCTAGGTAACGTTTTCCGGACAGTCTTAGAGCTTAAGGTGTTTGAGATAATCTCGAAAGCCGGTACAGATGCCGAGCTCTCCCCGGAAGAGATTGCGGGTCAACTTCCAGCTGGCCGACATGAAGGTACGTCGGCGATTCTTGACCGGATGCTGCATTTTCTGGCAAGCTATTCCATTCTGAAATGCACCTACAAGAATGATAATAATAATGGAGGTGGAAGTACCACTAGAAGATTATACGGGTTGGCTCCTCTCTCTAAGTTTCTTGTACCTGATCACGAGGGATTCTCTAGGGCTCCACCAGCTGAATGGTTTAATGACAGGGCTCTCAACCTTGGTTGGTATGGATCCGTAATTCGACCTGTGTATTATACTTTGTTCAATTTATACTTTGATGTTTTCCATCACCAATTTTTTTTTTTTTTTTGAACAAAAGGAAAAGAAAGGAAAGTACTAATAAACTGAAATATAAGAAAATTGGTATTAGGCCACAATAAATTTAATCTAGTTATACTCCCTCTGTCCCATAATTATTATCCAGTTTTAGGTTTTCATTTCTAGTTCAAATTGTACTAAAAGTGAAATCTCAAACTGGTCAATAATTTTAGGACAGAGGGAGGGAGTATATCCTATATCACGGAGTTACAACGTATCAGTGCGTCTAGTCTCGTTAATAAAACGACGTTAGTTTATTAGAAGATGAACATCTGGTCTGGGTTCTAGTTTGTCTTTGAGAGGCCATAATTTTGAGTTAGATGTATGAAAATTTAAACTTGTTTTGGCAGGAGTTACTTGAAAGATGCTGTGGTAGAGGGAGGAACTCCATTTAATAAGGCAAATGGAATGAATATGTTCGATTACTTGGCACAAAATGACAGCAGCAACAGGGCTTTTAACGACGCGATGCTCGCAACTTCGACACTTTGGTTGAGTGAAGTCCTTGATTCCTACAAAGGGTTCGAGAATTGTAAAGAGATAGTAGATGTTGGTGGAGGGTATGGATCTACACTTCAAATGATCATTTCTAAGTACCCTTTTATTAAAGGGGTCAACTTTGACTTGCCTCAAGTCATTAGAAACGCTCCACCCGTGCCAGGTATGGTACAAGGATGCCCGCCATTTATCGACCTAATTAAACTCTCTTTTATCCATATGATTTACTCAATGAAAAACTTAATCCCAATATTCTCTGTGTACATGTTGGTTTTTTTTATGTTTTTCCTTCTTAATTAAGGTGTACGACATGTGGAGGGTGATATGTTGGAATCAGTTCCTCAGGGTGAAACAATGTTAATCATGGTACGTTGCGATGCAATTTATAATGCGCACAAAATGCGATTTTAATATCTATAGTGTCGCTTTGATTATTTTGTGCATGCTACATAGTAAAAACACTAGGAGTCTTCCTTTCACCTCTTCAGTTTCTTTTAACTGAGGGGTGCAAAAGTGGAACAAAATAAAATCTTGTTGAAATTAAAACATTTCAATTGTCATTTCACTTGATAAGTTTACTCGAAGCAAATTCGTGTTTGTGATGTGTTAAACGTATTAATTTACAGCGTGTGCTTCATAATTGGACGGATGAGCACTGCTTGAAGGTACTGAAAAACTGTTGGGAAGGATTGCCTGAATCTGGGAAAGTGATAGCTATTGAGATGATACTTCCTGAATCCTCAGAAACCGAGATTTCTTCAAGGATCGCGTTGACCGTCGACTTAGTCATGTTCAACGTACATCCGGGAGGGAAGGAGAGGACAGCTAAAGAGTTCGATGCTTTAGCGAAAGGAGCTGGTTTTATATCTTCCAACGTTGTTTGTCGAACATCTCTGTTGTCCGTGATTGAATTTTACAAGTCCTAGATAGAGTAAATGTCGAAAAAGAGACAATTTACTCTAGACTTTTTAAATAAAAATTATAAAAACAAACAATGGGAACAAAATGGGATAGTTTGTATCACAAAAAGATTGATGCTTCCTCTGTGTATACGGTGATACATGTTTTCTGTTTGCAAAACATTTTGCGAGTCTACAAACATGTTTTAGGATACATTTTTCATACAAGATTAATCAAGACTTTTTTTTTTTTTTTGTTGGATGGATGGATGGATGAAGGCACGGAATTGAAAGAAATACAAACTGATACTGTAAAAGCTACGTACCAAAGGAAGACCAATCATTCAACGTTTAGAAATTTGTGGTGACTTATCTCTGTAATGTTGTAATTTGATCATTAGGCCAATTTGCCTCCTCCTTTGGGAAAAAAAAAAAAAAAACTTCGGGGAGTCCCCCCTCATAATAGACCTATTCGTTAGATAAGATATTTTGACATTTTGATTGTCATTGAAAGACTACTGCATTAGAATATATCTAAATATGAATCACATTCAATGTAACTGATGCATTACTATGAATTCAAATTTTTGCGTTGGTATGTCATTGTATCCGTCAATTTCTGCTACCCGTATAGACAAAAATGGTTGATTCATGAATTAAGTATATAACAAGCGAAAAAAGTTATTCCACTCCGTTTGAGCATCTACTTGCTACTTGCACAGGTTGAAAGTTTTAAATAATCATCCCTATTTATAGGCCTGAGAAACATCCAATTATTATTAGGTTTAGTAATATTGAGCCACCGACTTCGAAGCCGGTTGGACCTTGGACAAGGTGATTGGGCCGACCCACATCCAAGGGTGGAGTTGGACTCGTCAAGTGCCCCTGTCAAGCATTGGTTATAAGAAATAAACAAGACTTGACAAAAAATAATTCTAACCTGGACTCGGCCCAAGTTACTCGAACAGACTCGGGCCCATGACCCATCTAACGGGCTTGATAGTTTATTTCGCGGGTCAGGATTCACCTAGAAGATGACCCGATCCGGAATCCCGCCCAAAAATTCGACCGCGCGTAGTAAGTGGGCACGTACGGCTCCGTCATCATTACCTCTCCTTGAACTCTGTCCCAACTACCGAGACGTGGGAGAGAGAAGTTTAATCTTTGCTCTCATAATACTAGGCAGCCTAAAGTCTCTTGCCATTCACTCTTTTTAAATTCTAATCCTGAAAGCACAAATACTCCTGCTCCTGCGTGTCACCCACTGCCGCTCCAGACGAATCCCTTCGCGACCGCTGGAAATTCCTGCATTTGCTGTTACCAGAAGTGAGTCGCCGAGATTCGACGGATTGGGTAAACAGAATCCAGAAAGATACTAATAGAAGTAAGTCCTCCGACTCTCTTGTACTTTCAGAACCTGTTTTTCTTTTGCCTGAATTCGATTATATCTGCGTATATTGTGGTAGATATGGCTGCCTGAACAGTTTCTGACTTTGTTTCCACTATAAACTCTGCCGATAAAGCCCAGGCAAAAGCCAAAAAGTACGATTTCCCCGTAGATCTAGATTATCGAGTACCTTTAGGCACAGAAAAGGCTACTACACCTCCAGAGGGGAAAATAACTATATATGATAGGTTTATGTTCTTAGGGCTAAGATTTTTCCTGTACCCTCTATTCGGAGAAATAGTTCAATATTACCAAATTCTCCTTGCTCAATTTACACCGAACTTGATATCGGCAGTCTTCGGATTTGCGAGGCTTTGTGAGTTGAAGAAGGTTGAACCTCGATTACTAGTGTGGAGGTATATTTTCAAATTTTGTGTCCCCTCAACGAAATACAAGGACTGGTATAACGTCAAGAGGAATCCCACATTGGGCGCGGAGCAAATAATAGAACTCTTCGACGGTTCTCGAATGTGAAAACCAAATTACTTGTTTGTACAGGCTCCAGAGGATTTTTGTGTGACCTGGGATCACCGTGAATCCCAAAAGATGGGCGTTATAGCTGATGTCTGGTCTAAATCTGACAAGGCCAGGATTGAGCGACATAGGGACAACACTAGTGCTCTGGAATCCTTCAAGAATTATCTCAACTGGGCAAAAGTACAGCAGTATATTCCCCAATCCCTATCGTGGATAAAAAGGTACTAACTCCTCTTGTGTATTCTTTTTATTCTAGGCTATATCATCGAGCAAGAGCACTATTGGCTTGTTTGGTGACGCCATGATTTTTTATATTAAAAATTCAGATGATGAAGTATCTTCCAACAAAGTCAGCAAGAAGAGGAAGCTGAGAGGGTTAGTAAAGACGTCCGAAGTAAGCGCCAAGTCAAAGAAAAAGAGAAGCAGACTCCAACAGTCGAGAAGGAAGGACCAACCGAGGAAGTTACCCAGATCGAGGAAGATAGGCCTGTCGAGGACAACATTCCTGTCGAGGAAAACAGACCCATCGAGGAGGGTGCTCCCATCGAGGGGGATAAGACTATCGGGAGCAGTGTCCCCCCGGAGAAAAGTGGGAACCCGGACACAGGGCGAGACCCCAGCTGGTTCGCAACTATTGCGCCTTCGCTGTCTCAGAGGAAGGATGCTGCTGAGAATCCAGACGCTTCTCTCGGGTCATCGTCCTACACTGCAGCCGTTGTCATATTTCACTTTGGGGATGAAAGAATTGAATGCCCCATAATCGAAGAAGTGGCTGAAACAATGACGGATGGAGAAGCCTTAAATATGGTAAATGTTGCCTTCACACATGCCTTTCACATTCCTTGCTTATAACTGGTTTCTCGATTTATGCTGACCTTTTGTTTGCAATCTTGACAGCTAACCACCTCTTTGGCAAGCATTCTCATGCGCAAAAAGAAGCTAAGGGAGGAGATCTCCAGCCTGGAGCTCAAGAAAGGGTTCCTCGAGCACGAGAAGGCTATTTACGAAGAAGCAAGGAAGAAGGAGTATCTAATTCGAGCTGCTAAGGAGGAAGAGCTAGCCATGGCCCAGGCTATGCATAGGGATCTCGAGGCCAAGCTGAAAGAATATGGGGAAACCCATATACCCAAGGCGGAATTGCAGGAATGGATGACTGCCTTTTGGACTAGGATGATGCCTACTGAAGGAATGGCTAACGTCATGGTGGGCATCAGTGAGGCGGCTATTGCGTTGGGTGGCCATGGCATGGCCGTTGCTGCTTTGGAGAGAATGGAATCGGGAAAGCCTGTCAATGCTGGCTGGCTGCAACAATTCGTGAAGCCTCACTCTCGAAAGACCCTTCACGAAGCAATGCAGAATGGATTGTTGCATCTGTCCACCGAACAGCTCCCTTTGTTTGAGCCCTTATGCGGCGCCATCCCCCAAATGGGTTCACCTTCGGAGATCACCGCCTTGGAAGGAGATGCCCCAACAGTGCTACCTGCTGAACCTGTATGAGCCCTTATCTTGTAACAGGGTTTTTGCTACTTGGGTTCTAGACCTTAGCTTTCTGTAGTGTTTGTTGAATGGACTCTATTAATTTGGGATTTATGGAATACCTTTTCCTCCTTTTCTTTTTTCATTTTTAATGCATCCTTGCTGATTATGTCAGGAGCCATATTACCTCCACAATATGCACCTGATGATTCTTGAGGAAGAAGAGATCAGACAGTTTCCTATGTATGCCATGATTTCATCGGCATTAAGAAAATTCGGGAACGTCCACAATACTACCATAGTGGGAGCGCTTGAGAAAGAGATTGTCGATGTTGTTCAAGCTTATAACGTGCAGATACATTCTCGCTTGGTTCAATGCTTTAAGCAAAAGGAGGAGTGGAGACGTCGACTCCATCAATACGATCTCGACTTCCAGGACTCCCTGATTCTAGAGGCGAATATCAGCGACGAGATGAAAAAGCTGAAGGACGAAAATGCTCGACTGAGGAAGCGAGAGAAGATCACGGTATCTCCGTGGTTCCTCCAGAAATTTGACTTGCTCGCCTTGGTCGAGAAGCAGATAGAAGTTCGGACAGAGCGTTTTACAGCTGCCATTGATTTCTTAAAGAAGAGGACCAAAGAAGCAGAGTTCTACTCGAAACAGGTTGCTGTTCTACAAAACATATTGGTTGACAATGAAATCGCTCTGCCATTTTTGACGATCTCGATCCAAATGAGGAGCGAAAGAAAGGACAGCTGCTGAGGAATACCTGCTTAGAATTGACGAACAAGACTGGGAGATTGTAGACTTGAAGGATAAGCTAGGCCATTATATTTACCAGCTTAGAGCCATCGGGTTCTCTGGGGTTATTAAGCCTTCCCGAGTCAACCCTAGGGGAAAAAATCTCAAGATTTAATAGTGGTGTAATACATTCATCTCGAGCTTGTATAGGCGATTTAAATGTATAGTGGTGTAATACATTCATCTCAAGCTTGTATAAGTGTCGATTAAGTAGTTGTACTCGAGAATAATTTGTATAAGCACTCGATGGAATAGTACCGCGATTTGTGATGGGTACGAGGAAAGATCCTTGGTTCATATGTCCGGATGCTGAATACACGGCACGACCGAGGATGGCCCTAAAGAGGGTGTCCATCTCGCTGACTAGTCATGAAATAGTGTCGACACATTTAAAGTATAAAAACTATGTAATGACTTTTATTTATAATTGTCCGGGGACCCGGGATAGCATTACATACGAAGGAAGTGAAAATAACAAGTCATAGAGCAAGCAAAATAGCACATAGCATATAATAATTTAGACATAGAACCTGTGAAGGTTCTGAATGTTCCACCATCAAGGAAGAGTGGTCTCTGTGTCATCTGCTGTCTATAGTCAATAGCTTCTAGACGTGGAGACCTGAATGACTCGATAAGATCCTTCCCAATTTGCTGATAACTTCCCTTGGGCTTCTGCTCGGCTGGCTTCGTTTTTCCTGAGTACTAGATCCCTGACTGCGAAGTCAGTGCTCTTGACTCGCTTATTATAGTGTTTCATGAGGATCTCTTTGTACTTGGCTTCCTGGACATTTACGGCGTCTCGCCGTTTCTCGAACAGGTCGAGGT